TTAATTCTAATAAATTAAGATTATTTTTTATACGATATGCCTAAGCCTTCTTAGGTCTACTTCTACCTTTCTTAACTTAAGTTGAATCTAAAACATCTACTCTCGTAATCGGATCTTTAGATGGACAACGTTTAATGTGACCAAATCATCTAAGACGACTCTCTCTAATCTTGCCTGCCACTGGAGCTACTCCGACTCATTCATGGATACATTTCACATTTTTCTATAAGTATCAAGCCAGTCATCCATCTAAGTAACATCTCTGCAACACTTTACTTAGTTTTAAGGTTCTCTTTTAAAGGCCGATATTCAGCGCTATAAAACATTGTAGGTCTCACCACCATTTTATAAAATTTTCCTTTAAATCTAAGTGGTACTTTTCTATCACACAATAGGCCCGATGCATTCCTCCATTTCGACCAACCAACTTGAATTCTACTAATAACATCCCCATCTATATCACCATCACTTTGAACAATAGACCCGAGTGTTTCTTGTATATTCTTTTCCTCTTTCATCCTACCACTTTTGTGAAAATAATTGTGGGGTGAATATCTTGAAATTTTATCTTGATTTCCATTTGTAATCTCCAAACCTATTAGCTATATCAAATCTGTACCATTTGTGGCATTGCTGCATCTAACTTCCCGTAAACTTCAAGCCATCCCAATCATATATAATTCACTGCCAAACTCATATCCCAATCATACACCAGTATGCTTGCTAGTAACACTACAAACCCTAGTCTCACTCATCTTATATGCCTCACAATTAAACCTAAGCCCACTGCATAACTCATTAGAGAAAAAGGATAGTTTTAAGACATTTATATATCCAATGTAGCCTCTTAAATTCTCAAATTTGATCCAAGATAGTTCATGGACTTTTCAAATCTAACTAAAATAGTCCAACATAGAGAATATTTTGGATAAAGGTGCTGAATTGAATATATTTTTTAGCCTCATACAAATAAAACAGTGTCTGTTTTGCTCTATTTCTCTAGCTCAAAATAACCTCACGGCATCTGAAATAAAATTCTATAACCTCGCTGCAGGTCAAACCTCTGCTTTAAGTTACGTACTCAGAAGTTATCTTTATTCTTTCCTCATTCATTGTGGGTTTTGCGTCTAGGCTTTTATGCTTTTCTGGTCTAACATAGAATGTCCTAATGGTTTGTGCAGTCTGCTGTAACAATCAATACTAGTTATTTCTTAGATCAATATTCTAAGGGTGCCATGTAATTGGCAGCAACATATTGAGCACATTTGTTGTAGAAGAATAAAGTTATGTCGGCCATATTGAGGGGAATGATTCTAAAAGCTCCCCTGCATATGACAATAATGAGTGTTGATGTGTGTGCGTGTGTGCCTATATATATATATATATATATATTAGGTAGATCAATATAGATGGAAGGGAAGTGCAAAGAAAACTTCCTCATTATTACTGTTTATTCTATTTTTTTTCCCTGTTATCCTTGTTTATCATGCTTATCAGCATTATTAAGTTTTGAGTTCCATACTTTTTAGGCGGAGGTAAAAATCTCCTTATGAAAACATTTGGACTCCAATGTATACGCAAAAACATAATGACATTTCTGCTTTTGGCGCTTCCCTTGGACTATGTTCTGATATTGGATTTTTTTTTAAAATTTTTACACTTTACAAGCTACTAGGATTTCTACTCTTAAAAATTCATCTTCTTTATTAGAAATCAAAACATAATACTTATCAAACATCCATTTTTGGAAGTTAAGCGGGATATTGATTATCAGTATGCAGCTTTTACAGGGGTATAATGTCTTCCTACTTCTTACAATTAAATTCTTAGGGATCACATGGGATTATTTTTTATTTTATTTTATTTATTTGTTTTTAAAATATGTTTGTTTAGTGTATTTTGTACATGTTCTTAATTTTTATTTCTAAACCAAATTAACATGTTTTTGAAAACACTCAATATAGCCTTTTAGGTGATTTCAATATTTTTAAAAACAATGATATCATAATCAAATAAGCAAAACATATTTTGCTCCAAATAGAAATATAAATAAAACAAAATAAAAATAAAAGATAAAAGTGATCCTAAGTAGCTCCTAACCTTAGTATTTTCTTTTTTTGAGCAGGATGCCCTACCGACTTTTCCAAATGCTGAAGCATTTGCTTGCATTGAGAGAGAGCTGGGTTTACCTCTTGACTCCATCTATTCATCATTATCTCCATCTCCAATAGCTGCTGCTAGTTTAGGCCAGGTTTACAAAGCCCAACTAAGGCTGTCAGGCGAGCTTGTTGCCGTGAAGGTTCAGCGACCTGGTATCGAAGAAGTCATTGGACTGGATTTCTACCTTTTAAGAGGCCTGGGCTTCCTCATTAATAAGTATGTTGACTTCATCACAACCGATGTTGTGGCTCTAATTGATGAATTTGCTCGAAGAGTATACCAAGAGCTCAATTATGTGCAGGTTCCAAAATCACTCGCCTCTTAAATATATCAAGTGTCAAAATAGTTCCCTTATTATTTATGTGAGCTTATTTAAGTCCCATAATCTATAGAGGCGCCACATTATTCCTAACTCTTTGGAAATTGGCTGAAATAGTCTGCAAGTTGGATTAATTTTGCTCTCATTAAAACAGTTTATGGCTAAATTAACATTTTTATAGACTTTAAAAATGCTCTCCTACAAAGAGTAAGGGACTATTTTGACACTTCTCTCATTTTCAATTAAAAAGTTAATTCACCTTTTTTTAATTTCTGAAAATTTTCACTATTTGGTTTAGTGAAACATTACTTTTTTAATTTTTCAGGCTTTTATTTATAAGTTCCTGTGCAGGAAGGCAAAAATGCTCGGAGATTTAAAAAGCTATATGCTGACAAGGCAGATGTGTTAGTACCAGATATCTTTTGGGATTACACAAGTACAAAGGTTCTGACAATGGAATGGGTAGATGGCATCAAACTTAACCAACAGGAAGCCATTGAGAAACAGGGTTTGAAGCTATTGGAGTTGGTGAATACAGGTATTCAATGTAGCCTAAGACAACTGCTTGAATATGGCTACTTTCATGCAGATCCTCATCCTGGCAATCTTCTAGCAACTCCAGAGGGAAAACTCGCTTTCCTTGATTTTGGGATGATGAGTGAGACGCCAGAACAAGCTAGATATGCTATCATTGGTCATGTTGTTCACTTGGTTAATCGAGACTACGAAGCCATGGCTCGAGATTACTATGAATTGGATTTTCTATCTCCTGATGTCGATGTTTCTCCCATTGTGCCGGCTCTTAGAAACTTTTTTGATGATGTTCTTAATGCTACTGTTAGCGAACTCAATTTCAAAACCCTTGTTGACGGCTTGGGTGCTGTTTTATATGATTATCCATTCAATGGTGAGTTTCTTCTCAATGTATTTTGCATTAGATCTCAAAATCTGATATTTGTAACTTATATTATTTCGTTTTTTTGATCTCATACTTCGTTAAATAATGACATGAGATTGTGTTTTATGTTTTCCTCTTGCAGTTCCAGCTTACTATGCATTAATATTGAGATCACTTACAGTGCTTGAAGGTCTAGCTCTTTATGCTGATCCTAATTTTAAGGTCATTGCTGCTTCATATCCATATTTTGCTAAAAGGCTTCTTACTGATCCAAATCCTTACCTCAGAGACGCCCTAATTGAGTTGCTATTCAAAGATGGAAGATTCAGGTAAGTACTAAAACTACCGCGTTAACGTGCCAATTACATTGAACACTTGCCTAGTGCATAGAGCTCCGGCCACTGTCCGACAAGGGTTTGATGCGTAAAAAAACTGTTAACCTCCATTTATCTTAAGGGAATGTTTTTTTTTTGAGCCAGTTCCCTAAGAACAATATCCAGCAATCATTAAATGAGTGCAAAAACAATTACTTCAATTTGCTTTTAGCATGTTGTAATTTCTCTATCCCGTTTGGACCTATAAAAATATATATAATTTCTGGTGGCCCTTAACCAGCGACCTATTGGAAATCATAATGGGCGTGCATTAATCAGACAAATCAAAAACCATGATTGCTTTGGTTTAATTTTGAAATGGGGGCATTTACAAAGATACCGATAAAAAATTCCCATGCATTTACATATCTAACACTTAAACTTTGCCTTTTAGATTTATACCACCCAAATCTTTCATTCAAACCAAAAAATAACACTGTTATAACTTTTAAAAAGTGAAATACACATTTTCATGCACAGGTAAGGTGGTTTGTATTAAAAATTGAATTTTGCATGTTAGATATGAAAATAAATAGGAATTGAGTGGTAGGTATGTAAATCTCCATTTTGAAAAAAAATTTCATTTTGTTTCCAGACAATTTTTGGTGAATTTTGGCATGGCAATTTTGGTTTGGTTTGTGCTTCTATAAAATTGAACAAACCTGAACAATTGTCCAACTTTATTTATTCAAATTGGTCCCGATTTTGGATTCTTGAACTGGATTTTGGAATCTAGGCTGGTTTAGATTTGCAACTTGTCTCTAGTGCCAAGTTGCGATTTATAAAAGTCCACTGTTGGTGAAAATGAATTAACCATAAGTTTTTTTAGTTTGATTGATTTCAATTGGTTTGAACTGAGCCAGTTGATTTCATACACTAGCCATCCATATTAATATCCTACTTAAAATATTCAGTTGAATTTTATTCATCATTATCTCTTTTTTTGTCTTTAATGTACGCATATCTTATATATAGGTGGAATAGACTTGAAAATCTTCTGGTTCAGGGGAGCAAAGATAAGGATTTCACTGCTAGTGATGCTTTGCAGCCGGTCCTGAAACTCCTATTAGATCCCGAAGGCGAAGAATTGCGAGTTTTGGTTGTCAAAGAGTCTGTTTATGTTACTGAAGCTATCGTGTTTGGCTCGATGATAGATGCATTCAATTCAATTCCACAACCTATGAGGAGTTTAATTTCCAGTGGTAATACAAATGGACCTCTGAATCTCAATGATGGTGAACGTGAAAGAATCCTTGAACTTCGTGATAGGGTTTTCAGAATATGGAGCCTCTTGAGATCCTCAAATAATTTTGATCCAAGCATTCTTGAACCAATTCTACAGGTACTTTGTGATAAATACGACTATTCCATTTTATCATCAAATGCCTTCTATTAGTGAATATCTTCAACATTTTTGAAATTATCTTTTCTCAAGTGTTATAAAGTTGTTCTTTCTAGTTAACAAATAACTTTTTGGGGCATTTGCATACTGTGGAAATCAAGACGTAACTGACTGCTTCTTTGGGTGGGCGGCCAACTACTATCTATCATGAAAGATTGAATTGGGAGATAACTTTGAAAACTCGTCAATTAGTTTTCTTCTCTTCATATTTATGTTTTTGTTATTTTTATCTCATAATTATTTCCTTTCCAAATTTAGATTAGATATATTTGGTATGTTCGTAAATTAGGAGGGATTGGTTTCCCTATATATATGTACCTTACTTGTCTTTCCATACCTATATTCTATATGGTATTAGAGGTAGGGAGCATTCCCTAAATCTTATTTCAGCCGTCGGAGCCTCTCCAACAGCCCACCAATGCTAGAATCCTCCTTGCAACCACCATTCAGCCTGTAGGCCCTTCGTGGCCTCGACTCTTGTTCCCTGAGAGTTCCTTGCAGGATTTCGGCTCCCTGCAGGTGTCTCCCTAAGGGATCTTATTGTTGCAGATCTTTGTTCTCGTGTGTGGAGCAGTTCAACAACATGCTTGTCCTGATCTTTCTTGTTGCCACGATCGCCTCCTTTGTTCTCGCATGTGGAGCAGTTCAACGACAGGCTCGTTAGGATCCTTTCCATGTATACATGCGTTAGTCTTTCCCTGCAGGCCATAAGTTTGAAGTTTGATGCCTGCTCCACTGGATTCTCCTCATCCGAAACTTGGATTTTTTCCTGCAGGCTCTTTCGGATTTTTCCTTGTCCTCATCTACTCTTCAGGCATTTGAATTTTTCCCTGTCGGAAGCTAGGCTCTTCCCTTCAGCTTTCCTTGTAGGCATCCCTGTCGGATCTCTCCCTATAGGCTGCTGCTATCTTATATTTGACTCCTCTTTCCGCAGGAATTCCTTCAACAGTCGTCGAAACTTCTTAGCCGACTTGTTGGAGCTCACCAGATCATTTCGCAGTCAGAGCTCTTAATGCAAGTCTTCCTTTGTATTCTTCTGATGTAGAAACTTCTCCATGCAGTCGAAATTCTTCTGTTGCAGGCCCTTCTTCATTGGAATCCTCTTGCAGTTTTCTGCAACTTGCAGCTGAGTCTACAGCAGCAGCAGCCAACATCCTACAACAACAGCAACCAACCTGCTAACACAACATCCCTAACTATGCATAGGGTTTATGACTAAGTACGGGATGAAGACGTCAAACTCACTATGCATAGAGTTTATGACTAAGTACGGGATGAAGACGTCAAACTCAACTCCAGAGGTTAGTTATGAACCATTCACCAAGGAACAACTTGAAGTACAGGAAAATCTCCTAGAAGGTAATTCAAAATAGCACACCAACCGCACCTCGTGACACACCAATGTAATATATCCTTATCCCATCTCGCCAATAATAAGAGATTTAGAACTTGGATAATAGATTCAAGAGCTACTGATCATATGATCAGAGACATTGATAGTAAACTATCATGGGGCTTCTACATCTACATCAGCCAGTTCTGCAGATGGATCACGCTAAAAAATAATTGGAAAATAGATGTGAAACTCTATTAGGATATTGCTCTTTCCTTTATTTTTTATGTTTCACTTTTGGACTACAATTTGATTTCTATTAGTATACTTACTCATGATATAAAATATCTAACTAAATTCTTTGCAAACTTTTGTGAATTCTAGGTGGTGGAATCGAGGAAGTTGATTGACAGTACTGAAATGCATCAATTACACTTGCTAAAAAAAAACCTTTCTTTAAACACATGAGTGCTTCCCCCTACTTTTACCTCAAATTTCTGAGTCTATTGAGTCGCCGTCTGTTGAAAATCTGGTCATATTATGACATTATAGATCGGGTTATCACTATTTCAATTATGTTGCAAACACACTAGAAATGATTATTTCACGATTCAATACAAACCCTCACAGTTTTTTTTTCATTATTTATAGCGATATTTAGGGACCCTCAAAAGTGAAAACCCTAAGCGGGCCAGATTTTTTGTCTCATTTATTGATGATCTTAATAGAACTATTTGGGTTTTCCTAATGTATGAGAAATTTGAAACAACCCAAAATTTTCAATCCTTCCATGACATGATTCAAATTTAATTTCTGATCCTCAAAATTGATAATGAAAATGAATATTTTAACTTCATCATTGGGTCTTATCTTTCAAAAATTAGAACCATCCACGTGAGTTCATGTATTGATATCTCAAAATAAAATGGATAGCTGAGAGAAAGAACAAACATCTCATTAAATTATCCATCTCAATTATGATTTATCATCAAGTTTTAAAATATTTTTTGGGGAAGGAGTCCTTATTGCAATGTATATTATCATCCGAATGTCTAAGTAGATACTTAACTTTAAAATACCGCTTCATATTTTGATGGTTCATTTCTCAACTCACTTCAAACTTGAACCTAAATCTATCAAGTGTATTTTTTTTTTTGTATGTCTCCAACAGAAAGGGGTATAAGTGTTCCTCTCATGTTACCAAAAGTGCTACAACTCCATGGATTTCATGTTTTTTAAAAATCAATCATACTATCACAAATATGATATTTAGAGGGAGAGTGCAAATAAACATTAATTTTGGGATGCACTTGACGACACCTATACAGCAACCCAACCGACTCCTCTTCCTACTATTCCACCTAACCCTCCTACGCTTGTTAAGGACATCCAACTAATCCAACCTGAAATCTATAATAAAGAACTTCATGTGTACACAAAGAAAAAGAAAAAATCACGAGCATATGAAAGACAACTAGCAATGATAGAACTAGTTTAACGAAAACGACTCCAATTTTACCTAAAATTTCTTGCGAGGAGTTTAGTACTTGTTAGAAATTATATTAAAAAATAATTTATTTCTGTGATAAGTTATGGGGAATAAATTATTATTTTTGTATTGGATTTATTTTCTTTCCTAATTTAGCTTCCTATTTTTTTATTTTTTTTATCTTTAAACAATTAATATGAATTGATTAATTGAAAATATTAGGTGTTTTATCTTTTATTCATGTTATTTTTTTGTATTGTCTTTTTTATTCTAGGATTCATGCAAGGGTCATTTATACCTCTTTTCATATCATTAAAAAAATATTCCGCTGAATTTTGAAATTCAATAGAATATCTGAGCCTTGAAAAAATTCTTAGAGTACTTGACGGAGGAAAAGAAGATCTCCTGCCACCAAAAACTTCTTATTCCCCGCTCTTCGGCTCATCTCCGCCATATTCATTATTCCTTCTCACCCTTTGGTCTTCGTCATCATCGCATCACAAAGTGGAGACTGCTTCTATAAATCGCCGGTTTAGGGTCTTTTCTTGGACACTCATCGGTTGGCTTCCATCTGTCATAGGAGTTATTCCATATGTCGGTCTCAACTTTGCTGTATAAGAATCTCTGAAGGAATTTTTAATTTCACCTAAGCCCATTTGGCCTTGTCGATGATGAAGAGTTGGGTGGTTATCTGACTTTGATGTCTGTCATCTTCTTTTAAACTATGAAAGGAACCGAATTTTTTTTGAACAAGTTTGGTGTTCGATTACTGAGACGGAGCAATCATGAGATGATGACAACACTTTACCTTCAAGTCAACATTGTGAGTCAGTCCTTCCTTTAGAGTTTTTTTCGTGCAACAGATTCTTCTCTGAAGCTTTTTCCTGCCGAAGGCCTACCTCCATAACTTTTTTCCTTTCTCCACAACAGGCCCTCCTTCGGAGCTTATTTACGCAGCAGACCCTCCTCCGAAGCTTTTCCCTATAGCCACCCCGTTCTGGAGTTTTTTTCCGTAGCAACAGACCCTCTTCTGAAGTTTTTCCCTGCAACAGACTTTTTTTCGGAGCTTTTCCCTGCAGCTGAACATCTTCCAAAGCTTTTATCTCGCAGTAGGTCCTCTGAAACTTTTTTCCTGCAACAGGTCCTCCTCCGGAGCTTTCTTTTTTTTCTGCAGGTCATACCTTGCAGTTTTTTTGGAGTTTTTCTACTTTGCTGCGAACTTCACTGCAGTATTATCTATAGAAGCCTTCCGCCTAACTACAACATTACAGGAACTAAAGTCAAAGACAATCGTAGTCAACTAGAAATCAGTTTTTTCTGCAGGTTGTTTACTTTTCTGCAAAGTTTCTCTCAACATTAGGAAGCTACTGTCTACCTCCAAACATTGTAGGAACTGCAACATCTGATAACAATCAAATAGAAATCAACTTTTTTCTACAGGTTGTTTACTTCCCCGATAACTACCCTGTAGCTTTACCAATAAAAACCTTCGGCCTACTAACAAACACTACAGGAATTGCAATCTAAGACAACTGCAGTACGAGATGAAGACTTCAAGTTTTACTTCACAGGATTTTTCTCATTCATTGTTTAATGTTTTTAAATTCAAGTTGAACATGATTTTCAACCATGTTTCAACTTTAGGGGGGGGGGGGCGGTAGAAGTTATATTAGAAAATAAGAAGTTCTGAGGAATAAATTAATTACTTGGATTATATTTATTTCTTTTTTTATTTTAGGCTTTTCTATTTTATGTTGTTTCCTTTATCCCCAAACAATTAACATGAATTAATTAATTAGATATATTCGATGTTATATCTTTCATTTACTATTTTTTTATTGTTTTTCCTATTTTAAGATTTATGTAAGCGTTATTTATACTCTCTTTCATATCAATAAAAGTTTTCCGCTGAATTTTGAATATCAACAGTTTTCATGAGTTATCACCTTTCTTTTCTGAGATGTTGACGACGAGAAGAGTTGTACAAGATATCTAATTTAGGAGTATGCAATGTATAAGAAGTTATCCTCAACCTATAGAGCGTTTGCATCTAACCTTGATAGTATGCAGATTCTTAAATACATTTATGAGACACTTGAAAATCTTGAATGGAGGAAA